AGAAGAAGAAGAAGAAGAAGAAGAAGAAGAAGAAGAAGAAGAAGAAGAAGAAGAAGAAGAAGAAGAAGAAGAAGAAGAAGAGGTCAAGGCATGGGTGACAGAGAGTCAAGATGATGTGCCAAACATTACAAGAGAACTGCAGGAGATACAACTGGAAGAAACAGCTGGGCCAGCTGTATAGCTGGTAATGATTGAGTAAGGTAACCACACCATTAGCCTCTCCCAACACACGTTTTTAAAGACTTTTTCTCTTGAAGTAATTTTATAGTAAGAGAAGAGACCACAATGACAGTACAGTTGCTTGATACCCATCACATAGCCTACTACATGCATTTTTAGTGTAGTGATTTATATAGTATTATATTCCTACAATTGTATCCCTTCTCTCATACTTGGTAAGACATGTCTTGGTTTTTCTTTATCAAACATGCCAAAGTTTGTGTTCTTATCTTTCCAAAGACATAGTTTTTTGGGCTTGTCAACCAGGTGTGCTAGGTTTTGCTCCATTTCATCAGCTCTCCTAAAGTCTCCCTAAAGCTACCTGTGTATTCAATATGATTTACCAAACAGATTAATGCATAGAGGTAGCTCCACCTTTTGACCAGAATGCTTTCCCTAAGTCCTACATAGCCCTCGATGTTATCATGATCCTACTGGCAATGCAGAGGGCCACTTCAATCTTAAACTTGTGACTTGTTTTAATTTAAAAAAAAGCAACTGCTTTTGTTATCTCCTTTCCTCTATTGCCTGTGGCTCTTCCTGAAACTCATTTCAACATTCACTTTTATGATTTAGTCTATCTCCTGTACTGTCTTGTTCAATCTTTTTGCCTTTTTGCTGTAAATGCTAAAACATTTACTTTATTTCTCTTTTTAATTTTATTGGGCTGTACCGATTTCTCTGCCATCTGTGTGCGCTCATTTATTTGCTCTTCGTTTTTTTGTTGTTCTAACCTGGCCAGTACACATCTTCTCTTTCTTGTGTCTTGTTTATTTTTATCTACCAGGGATTGATACGTATAGGAAATTGCCTGAGGATTCCTACTGTAATATTCTCTTATGTTCTGATGTTCTGTGTTATCTGAATTACTTTGGTCATATTTTCCTACTTTGGCCTTGTCGTTGATACTATTGGTTTTTTTCAAGTGTTTGCTGATCTTTAGTTCACTGACCTCTTTTGGACAAAGAAGCCCACTAGTTCGGGTGGCCAATAAGCCCTCTACCCTGGTGAGCAAGTGTGTCTCCCTGAATACGTGAACACCCAGGTGCTCCGATGAGGGGGCGGTCTCTTGACTGGCAGACATCCCCTTGGAATGCTTAGCAATGGACCTGCAGACACACGTGGCTTAGAAAGCCTCCTCCTCAACTGCTTTGTTCCCTCTTCTTGCCCTCATCCTTGTCACCGGTGTCTGGAGTACACCAAGCTCTGTTAGGAAGCACTCATTCCAATTGTTCTCATCAGGCAGCTCACTTCCATTCACGAGAAGTCAAAATCCACTGCTGACTGCCTCTCGGGTGGGAGGGAGGGGTCACCTCATGGGCTCCAGAGGGCAGAAATCTTGAAAGCAGTTCTTAAATGAGCCTTAAAATGACAGCAGGACACCCTCGTGCTCTTTGCATTGGTTCATCTGGTCTGGAGTTTGTCAAAGGCTTCCTTACATTCAAAGTACGTTTCTCCTGTTCATGTTTAGACTGCAGTATTTTGTACCTGATGTTTTGATTCCAAGTTCATCTCCCAGCATTGCTTCCAAGTTCAACTCTTCCACTGGCATCCTTTCTTTTTACTCAAGAAATTTTCTTAACTTTCAAGCACATCTTTGACATTTTAAGGCAGGTTAGACTAGCAAGGAGGAAGAGGAATGTGTTAAGTCCATTATTTTGAATGAATCTTGAGATTTTACTGCTGCTGCTGTTTTACATTCCAAGAGAAGATCATCTTTTTTATTCTGCCCAGTTGCTGCAGGCTCTTTGAGGACTGTCTGCCAGGTAGTCTCAGTCTTAGTCGTTCTTCCCAGTTTTACTTGTGAAGTAGGTGTTTGAAAGCCACTGATAACAATTAGACTGGAAAATGCTTTCTCTTCAACTCCCTACCTACAGGGCACTAGATAATCCCTGTGTTTTCAGTCAGATTTACCACAAGAATAGAAAAGAGTCCTCCAGTCCTTACTGAAGGATACTGTCCCTACTCTAAGCCACTGTGTTCTCCAATCTTCTGGCACTGGAATTGGAACCTACACTTTCCCCTGGAATTGCTCTTCTGAAGGTTGTTAAGACCCTGCACTGATCATGGCTCCTGGGTGCACCTCAGAGGACCTCTGTATGGGGCCTATGCCCGTGCTCCGCTCCACATCCTCTGTCTCACATTGTCACATTTCCTGGCTTCCGTACCTTCACTCTTCTGGGTCTTTGTCCTTTTCTGGACAATCCTCAGGTTTTTCAGAGAAATAATGTTTTTCTTTCCCCCACCAAACCCCCAGAAATCACTCCTTGGGTCATTTTTTGGATCTTCTCTGTACCACACACTGGCAGCGGTATACCTTCTGCTCAGAAAGGTAAATGTCCAATTGGCATTGCTCCAGTCTCAGCCCCTGGGCTCTAAAAGTGGCTACACCTCTCTTCTGGGTACTAAACACTGGCTCCACCCCCTTGCTCCATGGACTTACCCCTCCTCCTCTGTGTTTTGCTCAGTGGTGAAGCCCAAAGCCGTAGTGTCATCCTGCTGCCAGTGCCTACTGGTGTCCTTTCACCTTTCCCTCCTGACTTACCTGGCTCTCAGCTCACCTTCATAGCACGCATTGCTTGCTTCCTATCAGCCCCTCAGTCTTTTCTTTAGTTTTATGTAGTGCTAAAGCCTCTCCAGATGAAAGTAAGCTTTCTGAAAGGCGTCTGAATAGAACACTCGCCTCCAGGGGTTCTGACTTCATATAGCATAAGACCCGAACTCCTTCGTAAGGTGTGGTGGTCCCACGGGGTCTGCTATGTGCGTCTAACTGTCCTTTCCTGTGGGATCTTGCTTTGCAGACTGTTGCCCTCGCAAGCAGGAAAGTGCCCTTGCTTTCCTCTTGCTCACACAAAGAATGCCATCTTTTCTCTCCCCCTGGTCAAGATGCCCTCAGCTGCACACCGCTGCTTGCATTTACATTCCCTGAGAATCCTTTGATTTCTCCTAGCAGCACAGGGTGGTGGGTCTGTTTAGGAAAGTATGCACTTCGCTCACTCCACAAAGGATTTGTCAAAATGGAAAACAGATACATCAGGTAACAGGATAACACAGGCAAGCCAGGCACTAAATTCAAACGGAGAGTGAAGATAAGAACATGAACAATACTTGGTATGATGGTAGTCTTAAAAATGATTGATAGTAAGTTCTCTAGACTTACACTGCAAAGAGCCACACTGAAATTTGCCTCTGGGCTTCTTTGCTGTCAAAGCTAAGAGATAAGCTTGATTGTTTATGAGTTTCATAAGGTCCCAACACTATAAATAAAACATTTTTGCAAGGTACTGAAAACAGAGAGGTAGTTTATTGCATAAATGAGGTATTCATCAAGGGGACTGCTAAATCTGGAAGTTTCCTTCTTTGTGCTATCACTGACCCTTCGATATCATCCTGTCATTACCATGAAGTCTTTTTGTCCCCTGATTTCCTCAGGGTATGCATCCTATCTTCAGGCCACTGCTTGCTACTTTCTTGTTACTTGGTGACAGTTCATTTCATATACTGGGTAAGCAAATATTGATGGTAATGTAAGCAAGTGTTTTTGTGTAAGTTGGCCTACAAGAAGGGCACCACTATTTATACTCCATCATAAATATTTAACCAGCTGGAAAGGTCTTTGTAATTATAAAAGCAATATTTGGAATAATTACAGTGTACCAGATATTGTACAGAGCACATTAAGACATGTGTATTTCCAACCAATCCTGTGGAGATTAGGATATCCACACTGAAAGATGGGAAGAGTAAGATGTTGAATAAGAGAAGTTAAGTAAGTGTCTGAAGGGTAGACAGTGAAGGAAGAGAACCTGGGCTTAGCACTGTGCGTGACTAAACCCTGTGATACCCCATACTTTGCCGCTGGCTCCTGCTTTGGTGTGTGGCAGATGTATTAAACCGATTAACATTTGATTTCAAAAGTATGGATTCCTACTGTTGGGGAGGCCTGGTAGAAGGGCTTTGTTGCCATTGCCCAGTATGGTAAGTTTTATTCAATAAAATTTTTTGAAGGAAAAGAGCAGCAGCTAGCTGGCAGATAAGACACTGTACTATAAAATTCATTTTCCATAAAGAAATATCAGGGCACATCCTCACGTAAAATACTTCCATTGGTATAGCTGGTAGAATATGACCTAACTTTGTTCCCTACATCCAAGGAAGGACATTTATTACCTTAAGGATTTCTTCCATTTTAACCCAACTGACTTTCACTGACAAACAAACAGATAGTTGCTTCTCACCTGAAAGTTGCCGAAGCAGCTTCCTCCTGGGAGAGTCACATAACTCACAAAGGGGGGCCCAGAGGATGGCAGAGACTCGTAGACCACCACACCTTCACTTGGGAGGGTGGCCTTCTGCTGCTGCTTGCTTTCCCAGAATTCCTGCAACATTGACACAACATTCACTGAAAAAAAAAAAAAGAGAAACATGGATTATTAAGGATGGGTATATCCTGGCAAAAGCAAAATTTTATTTGAAGCTGGATACTGTAACTGGCAGTTTCAGTTTAAGCTGAGAATGTGGACAGTGGGCTGCTTTCAGTTATGAAAGAATATCCTTTACTCAAATGTATTTAAAGTACGTTAAGTATATTACTTTAATGCGCATGTATATATTTCTTAATAAATAACACTCAAATGGTTTTGGCACTCTAACAGTATTGTATCATATCAAATTTGCCTTACAAATTAATTTTTAATATCAGATTTTAAAAACGCTCACTCTTCCATCTTTGAGAAGTTGCCTTACAAGGCCATCTAGAGCTGTCATTCTCTGATGCTTTCTCCCATTGCTCTTGGACTCTAAAACCTGCGAAGCGAAAGCCAAATTGTGAAGTAAGGATGTAAGTAAAGCAATTTTAATCTGGATTTACCATTTATTAGATTCAGGAGGCGAAATTAAGGAAGACAAATCATTCATGTTCCCTCTTTCCCAGTCTAAAGGAAGATGAGAGGCAACAGGGAAACAAGCAGGAGAATAGAGAAAGCCACGAGTGAAACTAATGACTTGGAGGCCTCGTTAAGGACAAGGTCTATTCGATGACTTCAGAGAACAGCAATGGCTAGAGCCATGTGTTTTAGATTAAATGACCTGTGATAGCCTGCAGAAGTTCCAGATCAAATTAGGTTGGTTTGTTTATCCTGTACTGCAAATTGAATTGTGAAAATTAACAAGGATAATAGAATTGTAGAGTCCAAAGTGACCTTGTGGGTCACGTAGGCAAAGCTCTTCCTAGTACAGGAATCCCTATTCCTTTCCAGCCCTCCTGACAGCTGTCTGGCCAGCCTGTACCTGGCACAGCTAACGCAGCCCGTGTGAACTTGGAGTAGTTCAATGGAAAGGTGAGCTGAAATCTGGTCTCCTGAAAGGTCCACGCATGGGCTCTACTTCTCATTTCTGGGGCTTCATATTAATTTACCTCCTTTCCCTCTTGAAAGCTCAGCGCATACTTGAAAGCAGCCTAGGGCATCTACTGTTTCAGCCTATCCAGCCTTTGCCCAGCTTCTTGTGTGAAGAGAGGTACAGTTTCTGTAGGCTCCAGGAGGAAAACTAGGGACTTGGTCCAAGTCTAGTCATTTAGAGCCAGTGAGACCAGGACTGGTTGGAAATTCCCACCTACCACTGGGGTCCTGCTGGGATCGGGGGTAGCTGTGGCTCTGCCTGAGCAAAAGGAGAGCTGGCTTGCCAAGAAAGTGCATAGAAAAGAGTAGAGTGGGAGATGGAAAGGGACAAGTTCTGATGAGAACATTGCAGCTTTGCCCAAATCCAGAATCCTTGAGTGACTCTGAGGGATGTGGCAGCTCAGTCTGTCTTTCTCTTAAGTCATTTGGAACTGGTGTCTCTTGTTTGCATATGACAGTGCACTGACACGGACAACTCTCTGATTTCAGGATAATTTTCCTTCTTTCCTTTTTTTATGCAATACATTGTCTATGCTTTTTGCCATTATTCTAGATATATTTCTAGATGCTCTTCCAGCTGGAGGATATTGATATTTACTGAATTTCTTATGGAGGCAAATACTTTGCACTCCACTTTCTAATCTGTTTACCAGAGTACAGGGCTCCTGCACCTCCTTCCTAGGTTAGTTCAAGCGAATTCTGAAAATGCCCCCCAAAGATGCTTGTATCTCTGAAAACATTGCAATGGTTAGTATTTAAGAACTGTTTGGGGAAGTAAATTAAAAATGTAAGCCTATCAGGAGTGATCACTGAATTAATTAAAACATTTTAAAGGTTTAGTTGAGAATTGATCATTACAGAGCTTGATTTGTCTAAAAACATTTGAAATTGTATTTATTTTTAGCAGTTGATGTAACTCCAAGGAGAATTGGAACTTTTGTACTCTAAACTGCATTTAGTTCCTGTCCTCCTCCTCCGTCCAATTCCGAGAGGACAAAGATTTATGAGCTGGCCAATTGGTGTCTGTACTTGAAGTTAATCTTCAGAATTCGGCAGAGATGTTCGGAAAATTAAAGCCTAAAATTAAAGCCAGGGTCGCTCTGCTAGCCAGCAAGGGCTGTTGGCTTCCTATATGAAATCTGTCCTGTACTGAGTGACGTTTGGCTAAGAGCTGGAGCAGGAAATTGAGGAGCCATGATTATCTAGGTATGATGAACCCTGGGACTTTGGCACACAGCAACCATTTGGGTTGAAGAGCTTGCAGGTACACTCTGAGAAAGATGTCTGCATGAACAAAATCAGGAGTTCAAATTTTTCATTTTGCAACCTTGGAAGACTTCTTTGACGGTCCCCCAGATGTCATCACCCTTAAGGAGGGAAGCATACATACATACAACACACAATCCATCTTTCTATCTCTCTCTCCTCTGGTTGACTGGAAAGCCAGATGAATGGAGTGCAGGGGGAAGAAGGCCAGCCTGCGGCTTGAAATTCCAAAGATCAGCATATCAGAGGATGTTCTAGGAAGCACACGCTGCTCTATTTTCATGAGGCAGCACAAGCAAAGCCTATGGACAGTTGCAACATAATGTGAGCAGAGGTCAAGTATTGTTGGAAACACTATCTACGTTGGAGGCTGGGCCTCATGACATGGTTTTACTCTCCAGGTGCGTGCAGTCAGCGAGTCTGCCTCCCACACCGCAGAGTGCACTGGAGCTAGCACGTGCGTGAGCTCCGTCCCTGTCTCTCGGCAGCCAGCTGCACAGCTGCCCCACTCTACCTAATTCCCCACAGGCTCCGATGATTTGTGCTGCTTCTCCTGGGAACTGGTCTCTTAGTTAAGCGTTTGGCCTATTTTTAAATGCTTCCTCTTCATTCCTTCCCAGTAGCCATTAGTATGCTTAAGACTATGAATGAATGAATTAATAAATGAATTAATCAATCAATTAAATGAGACACTCAGTCTTGAAGCTATTTCTGGCTACAGGTTATTAAAGTTTTTCCATTAGAGCCAGCCTGCTAGAACGAATATTCTATGACTATTCTTTTTTTTTCCTATAACTATTCTTGCTTCCTTAAATTCTACTGGTATTTAACCCAGTGCAGTCTGGCTTCATCCTTCTATATTATTCTACCATGGGCCGGGGAGATAGCTCAGCAGCATAAGTGTCTGCCTGACAAGTGCAAGGTCCTGAATTTGATCCCTGGTCCAAAAACAGACAAACAGAAAAGCACATCATTCCACCAAAGCTACTTTAACAAATAACACCAATTCCTAATTTTCAGGTGAATAATTTTCCTTTTTCACCTCTTAGCTGCATTTGATACAGTTATCAATGTCTAGAAACTCTCGTCTAAGCTTTTCTGATAGGAATTTTCCTTAATTATAGCTCTTTCTTTCTAATTATTTCTTCTACTTTATTCCACTGGTTTTTCTCCTGTTATTATTCTATAAGAGAATCTTGTCTCATTTTCTCTTGCTTCTTTTTTACTCCTGTCCTTGGAATTTCTGTGATCCCATATGCCATAATATATAATGACAGTTCCCAAAGGCGTCTCCAAGCTGTAACCCCAAGTTTGCTAGTAGAGACTTCCAACTGGACAGCGCTGAACAAACTCAATATATTTTTAAACTCAAGTCATTTCATTTTCCATGAGTTCACCACTCCCTTCTGGATAATCTTCCTTCCTTTTGTACTACTTGGAGAGTGATACTATCATCTACATAGTCACCTAAATGAGAAACAGAAGAGGAAATTTACATTTCATCTCTTCTTTCTATGGCTCACAAGTGCCCGGATTTTGTCTGCTCCATGTTCTTGATGTCTGCACAGCTCTGCCTGCATCTCAGTCCATCTTGCCAGGGCTGCACTGGCTCACGCTTGTACGTCACTGCACATCAATCCTTTATTGGTTCCTTCATTAACTAGGCTAAATACCTCCTTGGAAAGGCGTAGACAACCCTGCGTCTTGCTACACTGTTTTATTCTTAACCTCCTTTCCCCACATTCACTCTCTGGGCTTCTTCTTGCAGCCCCAGCAAGACTCCCCCTTCTTTTCATCCTCTGGGTATGTCCTTCTTCCCACAGTCTATTGTCGTCTTGAATGGCATCTACTTCATCTTTTCAAGATCTGACTCTATCATGAGCTCATCAAGAATGGCAACAAAACAAGGTCATTGCTTTTTCTACCTCAAGTGCAGTCAGTCCCGGAGCATCATCTGGATGTCACTTGGTGACTTGTTAGAAATGCAGGACCTTGGGCCTTACTCAGGACTGCTGCAGCAGCTCCTCATTTTAAAATGATTCTCAATCAGAGAATAATGTGCAACTGTAGGCATATTAAAGCATAAGCAATCCTGCTGTAGGAAGAAGTGGCTAAGCCCACCTCTGTGATCATGTACTTATTACAGGCCAGCTACTGTGTGTTTTCTCATTTACTCCTGCCCACTGAAATAAATATCATCACCTAAACTTATAAATGATACATCAAAGAGGCTTAAGGTACAATTACATGGCTACAAAGTCTAAACCTAGCCTAGTTGTGTGTGTTTAGTCAGTATTTTTTGCTCATCCCAAGACACTGTCTAATGTAGTGGAACTTAAGTCATTTTCATGCCTACCCACCTCTGCTTGGGATTTGACATCGCTCTAGCACAGAGATGTCGCACTACATGGGCATTCTCTGTTCATGTGGATCAGCATCCTTATAATATCCTTCAGCAATACTCTGCTCTAGCTTAAAGGAATGATGTAAATCTCCGCAGCTGTGTGAGGAAGAGGGGCTGTACCGAAGCCTCCTGTTCTAGTCTCTTCTTTTAAGGAAAGGTGGATGAGGAAGGGACCTCAAGAGGAATAAAAGGAAATGATGAAGGGCTGCGGAGGCCTGGCAGAAGCCTTGCAGGCAGAGGGCCTGAGCAAAAGGCAAGGTTATATCTCCAGGCTTGATTATGCTTTCCACCCAAGTCAGGAGTTGGAGTGTAGAACACATCTGTGCATCATTT